AAAAACGGGGGTCCCTCGATGTCTGCCCCCCTCTCGGGGGCCACGATCCCCGTGAGGGATGTCAAACATCGGCCCTCCCACTGGCCGAACAAAAAAAACCATCTGACACATCAGATCCCCTCCAAACAAAACCCAGGGAGGGGAGGGGGAGGGTGCCTCTCCCCGAAGGGAAGAGGGGTTGTAGAAGCAAAAACACCTGTCGCCCACAGGGCTGGCGGGATTAGCCCGCAATGGCACAGAGCAGACAAAACTTGCAGCCAGCGGATTAGTGGGAGGCCAAACCATGAACTCATAATCTGATCTTGGAGAGCAGCCATGATCCAGGGGAGGACACCGAACGGGGACGAGTGCTAAATGCTGGTGTGGCAACAGTAACTGTCGGTAATTGACAGCGGCAGCGTAAACTGACTGGCAGGCTTGATGTGCAATGCTGTTGTGATGTGACTTGGCTGAGGTATGGCGAGTTGAATGCGATTGAAGGCCAATATTGATCGTGAGCGAGAGAAGGCTGACATCTGGAGTTCAGGTGGTGAGGGTAATCAGTCGATACATCCGACAAACATAAAGACATCCTCGCCACTCAGTCGCACTAGCTGCTGTGAAGGCGGTACACTGATTGCGGCTGGAGTGGCAACTTGTGGCCAAATTGGCTTAACATCTAGACACTCACGACCAATACACACTATCTAAGCAGCAGTGAGGGAGGAGAAGGCGGAGGATTTCTGCACTCCACCACGCCAACGCACACACGCCGTGGCCCGTCCTCAGCAGCTGCAGCTGAGGCGGACGAGCATTACACTTTGCTGCTGGCTGTTCCTCCCCGGGGCAGTCCCGGTGAGGGCTCGACCCCGCGGTCGTGGGCACAGCACGAATTGGCGAGTGAGAGCACAGCCAAGAGGCAGCCTGAGCCTGAACCTAAAAACCGTCCAGGCGGAGAGGCGTCAACAATCAATCAGGCTCGTCGGATGGCCGACGGCACCGGATCTGATGGCTGCACGTCCTCTTCTTGCCTGAGGGCCTTTTGGCGCCGAACTCTCAGACCGCTGCTGCTCTGCAGGGCTGGAGGAGGCAGATAGAAATTGCGCTGCTTCCTCCTCAGCCTGCAGGTCTCAATTAGGAGGCTCGACCTTCTGGCCAGCAGCAGCAGAAGGCCCTGGCAGACTCGAGAGATAACCTTCCCATTGCATGCGCCAGGCGTGTCTTGAAAGTGGGTTGACCCAAGTAGCCCAAGTAGCCCAAGAAGCCCAAGTAGAGGGTTTGACCCAAGTAGCCCAAGTAGCCCAAGGGCTTAACCCCAGTATCCCAAGTAGCTCGAGACATTCTCACAGCTCGAACGCCGCTGCTCGAGACATCCTCACTACTTTGGCTACTGGGGCTACTTGGGCTACTTGGGTCAGTCATCTACTTGGGCTACTTGGGCCGCAAGAGACATCCTCGCAACTCTGGCTACTTGGGCTACTTGGGTCAATCCCTCTACTTGGGCTACTTGGGCCACTCGAGACATCCTCACATTTCGTGCGCCGCTGCTCGAGACATCCTCACCACTCTGGCTACTTGGGCTAGGTCAATCCTCTACTTGGACTACTTGGGCCGCTCGAGACATCCCCACAACTCTGGCGCCGCCGCTCGAGACATCCTCACAGCTTTAGCTAATTTGGGTATTTGGGCTACTTGGGCCAATTCTCTACGGGGGCTACTTGGTCCGCACGGGACATCCTCACAACTCTGGCGCCGCCGCTCGAGACCTCCTCGCAACTCTGGGTACTTGGGCTACTTGGGCTACTTGGGTCAATCCCTCTTTTTGGGCCACTTGGCCCGCTCGAGACATCCTCACAACTCTGGCGCCGCTTCTCGAGGCATCATCACCACTTTGGCTACTTGGGCTACTTGGGCTACTTGGGTCAATCCTCCACCTGGGCTATTTAGGCCGCTCGAGACATCCTCACAGCCCTGGCGCTGCCGCTCGAGACATTCTCACAACTTCGACTACCTGGGCTACTTGGGCCAATTCTCTACGTGGGCTACTTGGTCCACTCGGGACATCGTCACAACTCGTGCGCCGCCGCTCGAGACATCCTCGCAACTCTGGCTACTTGGGCTAGTTAGGCTACTTGAGTCAGCTCTCTACTTCGGCTATTTGGGCCGCTCGAGATATCCTCACAACTCTGGCGCCGCCGCTCGAGACATTCTCGAAACTCGCACGCCGCCGCTTGAGACATCCTCACAACTTTGGCTACATGGGCTATTTGGGCTACTCGAATCAACTCTCTACTTGGGCTACTTGGGCCGCTCGAGACATCCTCACAACTCTGGCGCCTCCGCTCGAGACATCCTCACAACTTTAGCTACTTGGGCTACTTGGGCTACTTGGGCTACTTCGGTCAATCTTCTGCTTGGGCTGCTGGAGCCGCCCGAGACATCCTCGCAACTCTGGCGCCGCCGCTCGGGACACCCTCAAAACTCTCGCAACTCGGGCTACTTGGGCTACTTGGGTCGACCCTCTGCTTGGGCTACTTGGGCCACTCGAGACATCCTCACAACTCGTGCGCCGCCGCTCGAGACATCCTCGCAACTTTGGCTACTTGGGCTAGTTGGGGCAACGCTTTGCTTGGGCCGGAAAAAAAGTCACCGGGGGCCTCGGGGTGACTTTCTCTTCTGGCGTTTTCCGCCTCGTCGGATTCGGCTTGATTCCACTACCGTGTTGACTCGGGCTATTTGGGCTACTTGGGCTACTTGGGCCAATCCTCTACTTGGGCTGCTGGAGCCGCCCGAGACGTTCTCACAACTCTGGTGCTGCGCTGCTTGGGCTTGGGCTACTTGGGTCAACTCTCTACTTGCGCTACTTGGGCCGCTCGAGACATCCTCACAACTCTGGCACCGTCGCTTGAGACATCCTCACAACTTTAAATACTTGGGCTACTTGGGTCAACTCTCTACTTTGGCTACTCGGGCCACTCGAGACATTCTCACAACTCGTACGCAGCTGCTCGAGACATTCTCGCAACTTTGGCTACATGGGCTACTTGGGCCACTCGAACCAACTCTCTACTTGGGATACTTGGGCCACCCGAGACATCCTCACATCTCTGGCGCCGCCGCTCGAGACATTCTCACGACTCGCACATCCTCACAACCTTGGCTACTTGGGCTACTTGGGCTACTTCGGTCAATCTTCTGCTTGGGCTGCTGGAGCCGCCCGAGACATCCTCGCAACTCTGGCGCCGCCGCTCGGGACACCCTCACAACTCTGGCTACTTGGGCTACTTGGGTCAATCATCTACTTGGGCTACCTGGGTCACTCGAGACATCCTCACAACTCGTGCGCCGCCGCTCGAGATATCCTCGCAACTTTGGCTACTTGGGCTAGTTGGGGCAACGCTTTACTTGGGCCGGAGAAAAAGTCACCGGGGGCCTCGGGGTGACTTTTTCTTCTGGCGTTTTCCGCCTCGTCTGATTCGGCTTGATTCCACTACCGTGTTGACTCGAAGCGGCGTCTCGCTCGGGGCGCTGGAGTGCCACCTCGGCCACGCATCATAATTTAATGTTCCGCTAGACCTGTCTCGACCTGCGCGTCGCCGCTCGGGGCATCCTCACATCTCGGACACCGCCGTTCGAGGCATCCTCACAACTTGGGCGCCTGGGATGGAGACATCCTCACAAATCGGGCACCGCCGCTCGAGTCATTTTCACAACTCAGGCGCCGCCATTCTTTCTCACCATCCTCCTCATCATCATCATCATCCTCATCCTCATCATCATCATCGGCTCAAGCTGCTGCTAAACGCAGTTTAGGTTACTTAGGCCACTCGGGTTACTTAGGTTTCTCGGGCCACTTGGGTTACTTGGGCTACTTGGGCTACGGGCCAAACCCTCTACTGGGGCTATTTGGGCCGCTCAAGACATCCTCACAACTCTGGCGCCGCCGCTCAAGACATCCTCACCACTTTGGCTACTTCGGGTACTTGGGCTAGTTGAGTCAACCCTCTACTTGGGCTATTTGGGTCACTCGAGACATCCTCACAACTCGTGCGCCGCCGCTCGAGACATCCTCGCAGCTTTGGCTACTCGGATTGCTTGGGCTACTTGGGCTACTTGGGTCAACCGATTAGACACTCCTCGCGCACGCACACACTCGGGATCAAGCCACGCCCCCGCGACGAGCTCGGCGCCCGTCTCAGGGTGCCGATCTGCGCAAATCTGTCTCCATGCATGGCGGCGGCCGTAGTCCGTCCCGCTCAGCCCTTGTCGGGAGGCCGACACAACGCTCGGCCAAGTTCCGAACCTGGCCGCCGCTAGTGTAGTGCTTACATGTCGGGCATACGAGGAGGATAAGGAGGAGGAGGAGGAGGAGGAGGAGGAGGAGGAGGAGGAGGAGGAGGAGGAGGGTGGACGATGAGGAGGATGAGGAAGGAGGAGGATGAGGAGGAGGAGGAGGAGGAGGAGGAGGAGGAGGAGGAGGAGGAGGAGGGATGGATGACAGAAATGAGGGAGGGAGGGAGGGAGGCAGGGACGGACGGCGTCGAATGCTCAGGGCTGCCAGGCGGCCTCTGGCGGCAAATCTGCAGAACCCCCCAAACAGAACAGTGCTGAGATGCCTCCGAGCGCGCTCGGGCGCTAGCTAGGCCAGTAGCGGTGCCATCGACCACACCCGCGACGACCACCAGCACGACGACCACCACGACTGGCTGACGACAGGACACGACCACCTTCACGACCGATTCGACGACACGCCCACTGCCACGATCTCCAGGAGGGGAAGAGGGGGAATGAGGGGAAGGGTAGGAAGACTTAGGGAGGGAGAGGGGGAGGAGAGATACGTAGAATCGTGGTCCCCTCTTGGCATCTCGAGCGACGACTGCGTCGTCGTCGCCGTCGCCGTCGTCGCCGTCGGTTCGGCGGCTCCCCCGCCGCAGGAGCCGCCGCCGCGAGAGGCCCCCGCGCCCGCCGCGGGGGCGGCCGGCGCCCCCGCCGCCGCGGCGGCGGCAGCGCCCAGCGCCGAGGCGGCCTGCGCTCCGGCAGCCCCGGCGGCTGCGGAGCAGGCCCGGTCGATCGATGGGCTCTGCATCAAAGGCAGAAAAAACGCCCCTACCCTGGTTTACGAGGCGCTGTGCGCTGAAACTCCTGTGGGCTGACAGGGTAAACCCTGCGTGATTTGCCGCGTCCTGGCGGCTCTAGGCTTTGGGGGTTCCCAGGAGGTTTACAGACCACGCACTTATAACCCAGGGTAGGGTCGTTTTTCATCCCTCCACTGCAGGACCCAGACCCCCTCGAGTCATGAAGGAATCACGGCGGGGGGTTCTTCTGGATCTTCAGCCTCTGGGGGCCCTCGCCGGGCCCCAGGACCGTCGAAGAACGCCTCGGGATGAGAGGCCCGTCCCCAGAAGTGGATCGAGACCTCTGGGGGTCGACGTCGTGAGGGAATCCTGGCGTCGGGGGTCCAGGGAGGAAGCGTCAAGCCCCGCGACGCCGTCTGGGCCCCTCCCCCCCTCGGGGAGGCCGCCAGGGTGGAGCTCAAAGCTTGGCAGCCACCCTGTCTGGAGGCCAACAGCCGCCCACCGGCCCGGAGGGAGGAGGGCGGGAGGGAGGATCCAGGCCTCCTCAATTCGGCGACTCCAAGGGGTGTTGTTGCGCTGGGGTGTGGTTTGCGACCGGCGCCGTGGGTGCCTGGGGGGCACGACGCCGTCCTCGTCGGGCCTGCCCGAGGCGCGGCGGAGTACTCTACCGAGGTCCACGCCCGCCCCCCAGGGTGCCCCCCAGGACGCCAGTTGCAAAACACACCTTTCGGAGTCGCCGACGTGGGGTCGGAGTGCGAAAGGTTCGCGCCGTGTGGATCGGCGGCGACCCCGCCGCCGGCGCTCATCGTCGATTGCAGCCGGCGACCCAGAATTGTTCGATGTTGGACGACTTGGCGTTTCGGACTCGGCTGATCGTTCGAGTCTGAACCATCCCCGCGGTGTCCGGAGCCAGCGCCAGGATCGGCACGACACGAGCCCACAGTAATTAGGTGGTGTCGGAGGATCGCGCCCCATCGCCGATGATTCTGCGATGCGGCTCGATGTGGGGCCCGATTTACTCCACGCCGACGTTGCCGATGCATCGCTGACGCATCGCCGACGAAGGTGCGGCGCGGTCCTGTGACCCCCACCTGCTCGGGCCCCCTGCGGGATGCCTCCAGAGGGCACAGGCATGCTCGCGCCGTGAAGCAATCACGTGGGGAGGTTGTTTCAGGAGGGGGAAAAACACACAGAGACCATTAGCCGTCGATTCCCCAGAAAATATAGGAAAATGGAAAGTGCAGGGGAAGAGACAAACCCAGAAAATATAGGAAAAATATGGGGCATATTATTACTTGTGTGTATTAATTTGTGTGTCCTTGGGCCCCTTCAATCAACGACTCGGGATGGAAAGCCGACCCTGGGGAACGGGTCGGGACCTCTGGGAGCCGCTGGCAATTACCGTTGGCGGCGCTGGCGGCTGCGGAGAAGGCCCAGCCAAGAGGAGGGAGGATGGAAGAGGGATGGAGAAAGACGGAAGGAGGAGGGGTTGGGGAAAGGGGCGGGATTGGGGCAGGGGGGCGGGCACGAGATCTGCCGACTGCAGCCGGCTTCGGCCCCGCCGCCGGGTGCTTTCCTCGATGATTGCACTGGCGGCGCCTCGGGCGCTGGGAGGCGCCGCAGGAGGCAGACATGCAAGTTCCAGATGCTATCCATATGGGGCCCCCTGAAGTCCCGAGCTGTTCCCGAGGACCCGTCTGCCATCCTGAGTCGCCTGTTGACGGTCCCGGGGGCCCCACGGGGGCGACCATGGAGGCCGAAGGCGGCCCCAAGCCTCTCACGCTGCGAGCATGTCTGGGTCTCCCCCTACCCCCCTGGCCAACCCCCCGTTGGCTCGCCATGCCCACCGCTGGGGCTCCGAGCCCGGCGCACGGGCGAGGAGCCTGAGATCCAGTGTCTCGCCGGTCGGCTTCGGCCCGCTCTTAGTGCCCCGGGACCGTCGCAGATCGACCCTGCTGGAAAAACGAGGCAGAGGCAAGCGGACTTAGGCTCGAGTCGTGAATTGTTGGCGAGGTTAATTTTGTCCTGCAACGTCGGACCTCACTGGCCTCACGGGGGCAGGGAGGGAGGGGAGGGAGGGAGGGAGGGAGGAAGGGATGGAGGGAGGGAGGGAGCAGGAAGGAGGAGGAGGAGGAGGAGGAGGAGGAGGAGGAGGAGGAGGAGGAGGAGGAGGAGGAGAGGAGGAGGAGGAGGAGGAGGAGGAGGAGGAGGAGGAGGAGGAGGAGGAGGAGGAGGAGGAGGAGGAGGAGGAGGAGGAGGAGGAGGAGGAGGAGGAGGGAGGAGGAGGAGGAGGAGGAGGCGGAGGAGGAGGAGGAGGAGGAGGAGGAGGAGGGAGGAGGAGGAGGAGGAGGAAGAGGAGGAGGCGGAGGAGGAGGAGGCGGAGGAGGAGGAAGAGGAAGAGGAGGAGGGAGGAGGAGGAAGAGGCGGAAGGACGAGGACAAGTGTAAACGCAAGAGTCACCAACGATGTTGAAATTCACCTCCCTCCAAGATCCCGCTTCATAGGCCCCTAGAACGGTTCATCTTCATTGAGGAAACTGCGTCGTTGGAAGACATCCGTTCGAAGATCCCGAAGCATGCCAAAACATTGTTCTCGGGATTTCAACGCCACGGATGAACCTGACTGCTGCGTCTTGACGATCCGGAATCGTGCCAGTTTTGGGACTTCAATACCGCGAATCAACATACTTGCTGCACCCGCATAATCCTGAATCTTTCCAAAACATCTTTTCTGGTACGTTGATCATGGGAGCCCGTGAAATTCTTGCAATTTGTAAAAGTGAATGTGCGCGGCGCTAAGGCGAGAGCCACATTTTGAAAAGGAATTGCTCTTGCAAGTTGTTAGCACGAATATACGTGGCGCTAAGGTGAGAGCCACATTTTGAAACGGAACCGCCTTCAATCCGCGACCCTTCGCGAATTTTTCAAACGAATGTGCGCGGCGCTAAGACGAGAGCCACATTTTGAAAACGACCCGCCCTCAATCTTTGAAATTGTTGTCACTTTTAAGCTTCAGAGTCATACATGGAAGTCTCAGGCGAAACGCTCGGCCCTCTAAAACTGACCTCGGGGTGCGAGAGGGAGAAGTTAGTCATAAGGAAAAAGAACGGAGCAGGAGGTGAAGGAGGAGGAGGAGGCGAGGAGGAGAAGGAGCAGGAGGAGGAGGAGGGGGACCACTCTAAACCCAAGAGTCATCAACGATGCTGGGAATAAACCCTCCCTCCAAACTTCCTCGTCGTAGGCTCCTACAACGGTTCATCTCCACTGAGGGAACTTCCTCGTCGGAAGACAACCGTTTGAAGATTCTGCAGCATGCCAAAACATTGTTCTCGGAACTTCAACGCCACGGATCAACCGGATTGCTGCGTCTTGACGAGCCTGAATCGTGCTTGAACGCCATTCCTGGGACTTCAACACCGCGAATCATAGTAACTGTTGCACCCGCATAACCCTGAATCGCTTCAAAGCACGATGCCTGGTACGCTGACCATGAGCATCCGTGAATCCCTTGTACATTTTATAAACGACTGCGTTCGGCGCTAAAGCGAGAGCCACATTTTGAAACGGAACCGCCCTAACTCCGTGAAGCTCTTGCAAATTTTGTAAAGCGAATGTACGCGGCGCTAAGGCGCGAGCCACATTTTGAAAACGACCCACCCTTAATCTTTGTAACTCTTGCTGATTTTCGAAAACGAATGTCCGGGGGGTTAATGCGATAACCACGGGGTGAAAAGGACCGCCCTCAATCATTGAACGTCTTGTTGCAATTTTGAAAACGAAAGTTCGTGGCGCCAAGGCGAGAGCCACATTTTGAAAACCACCCGTCCTCCATCTGTGAAGTTGTTGCCAATGTTTAAGCTTCAGGGTCATAAATGATGAGGAAGTCTCAGGCGAGTCCGAACTGGTCTCAGGCGAGGGTGCTCGAACGCGCTGGTCGCTTGGAGGCCACACTCACGCCGGGAGGTCACGCTTGGAGGCCACGCTGCTGGGAGGCCGCGCTTGGAGGCCGCGCTGGGAGGCCACGCTGGAGGAGGAGGAGGAGGAGGAGGAGGAGGAGGAGGGGAGGAGGAGGAGGGAGGAGGGAGGAGGAGAGGAGAGGAGGAGGAGAGAGGAGGAGGAGGAGGAGGAGGAGGGAGGGAGGAGGAGGGAGGAGGAGGAGGAGGAGAGGAGGAGGAGGAGGAGGAGGAAGGAGGAGGAGGAGGAGGAGGAGGAGGCGGAGGAGAAGGAGGAGGAGAGGAGGAGGAGGAGGAGGAGGAGGAGGAGAGGAGGGAGGATGAGGAGATGATGATGATGATGATGATGATGATGATGATGATGATGATGATGATGATGATGATGATGATGATGATGATGATGATGATGATATGATGATGATGATGTGATGAGATGATGATGATGATGATGATGAGGAGGAGGAGGAGGAGGGAGAGGAGGAGGAGAGAGAGGAGGAGAGGAGGAGGAGAGGAGAGGAGGAGGAGGGAGGAGAGGAGGAGGAGGAGGAGGAGGAGGAGGGAGGGGGGAGGGGGAGGGGGAGGAGAGGAGGAGGAGGAGGTCTGAGGGTCTTGGACCTCCCCCCCGTCTGGGCGGCGGGGACGTTTCTCGGGACGTCTGTCGCTCGCCCGCCCCCGCGGCGGAGGCCCGGGGGCCCCCGCCGGGCGCCGCGGCGCCGTCGGCGGCGGGTGCTTCGCTGCAGACGCCGCGCCAGGCGAGGTGCGCCGCCGCCGCGTTCATATGAGTTGTCAACTAGCACCTTTTCTTGTACTCCACTGCGGTGTCTGGACACTGCCAACCTGGGCCCCACCTTTGCCTGGCTCTGCTGTTGTATAGACCTTTCTGGCCTCGGCCAGAGTGCGTGTACGCCATGCCATGGCCGAGGATGGCCCTGGCCAGGCACGGTGTGATGTATAAGTGCCTTCTGCGTGCAGACGACTCCCAGAATTCCCAGAGTGGAATTCTGGATTAGGCTATGGGTGCGTGTTGCCGGGCGGGGGTCCCCACTCGACCAGGGGCCTCCATGCGAGGTTTTTCGCGCACATACCCACAGCGCCTGCATCGCCTTACCCTTCCCCCTTCCCCCTCCCTCGAAGTTCGAGCGTGTCTTGTTCTCTCATCCCTTCAGGGGCAACGTTCGGTTTCCAGCAGGGCATGGGAGGGACGCGAGGGGCGCGAGGCCGCCCCAGCGGGGTATGCCCGGGTTCGCCCTTGAGGGGCAATGCTGGGCTGGGGGGGTCGAGGCTCGAGCTTCGGAGGATCGAGGTCAGGCTTTCTGGACGTTTCTGGTCATCCTGGCGCGCCTGCGAGGCCGCGGCTGGATTCGCCTCGAACCTCTGGTTAGGATGCATCCCCACGAGAGGTCCAGGGGAGACGTTCGATGTTTTCGGGCGTTTTCGCCGGTTTTCGGCGGTTTCCCAGATGCCTTCCAGCAGCTGTGCTTCGCCCAGAGCGTTCTGGGCGTGCCCGGATCATCCCGAACGGCCGCCAGAGAGTTGATTTATGACCCAAATGGGGGCAACGTTGGGGGGGATGGATGAGCTCAGGGGGGGCTGCATCGACCCCCCAATCGCCCATTCATCGCCAACACGGGCTCGATAGCCCGCCCCGCCCAGGAGCGCACGGGTTTGCCATTTGGGCCCTATCGCCGATCTGTCGGAGATGCATCGCCGATTTCAGCTCGATGTTTGCCCCCTTGGGCCTGTCCCCCTCATCGTTGCCCCTCAAGCGAGGCGGCGGCGAGGCGGCGGCGGCGGCGAGGCGGCGGCAGGGCAGTCCTGCCGCAGTCGGTTCCCTCCCAGGTGCGTTCGCCAGAGGGCTTCGCTTGCAGGGCTGCTCGCTGTGAGGCTCTTTTGCGGCTTTTGGCTCGGGAGGGGCTGCGGTCCTCGGGCCGTTTCTCAGATCTAGGCCAAAGAGCCTGTTCGTGATCGAGGCTCGCCGTCGCCAGAATAGCCCCTTCGTTCCTCCTCCAGCTGTCGGCTGCAAGTCCCTCCTGTCTCCGTGCCAGCCCAGCTTTCTGGGTGGCGATGGTTCGAGGGGCACGGGAGGCCTTCACGTGCGACACCTCGTGTCCTCAGGCTTAGGATAGCCGTGATGAGGATGCATATGATGATGATGATGTTGATGATGATGATGATGATGATGATGATGATGATGATGCGGATGATGATGAGGAGGAGGATGACGAGGATGATGATGATGCTGATGCTGATGATGATGCTGATGCTTATGATTATGCTGATTCAGATGATGAGGATGAGGATGATGCTGATGATGCTGACGATGATGATGATGACGATGATGATGATGATGATGGTGATGATGATGATGGTGATGATGATGATGATGATGGTGGTACTGGTGATGAGGATGATGATCATGCTGATGCTGATGATGCTGATGATACTGATGCTACTGATGCTGATGCTGAAGCTGATGACGAGGAGGATGAGGAGGATGAGGAGGATAACGATTATAATGGAGATATGGAGATGGGGACGATGATGAGAATGAGGGTGATGATGCTGATGCTGAGGTGGACGATGATCATGCTGATACCGATGACGCTGATGCTGCTGATGCTGATGCTGATGCTGATGATGATGAAGAGGATGAGAAAGATGCGGAGACTAATGATGATAATGAAGATGTGGATGAAGATGAGGATGAGGATGCTGATGATGCTTATGCTGATGATGCTGACGATTATTATGATGCTGTTGATGCTGACGTTGACGATGATGCTGACGATGCTGATGATGCTGATGATGATGCTGATGGGAGGCGATTCTGATACTGCTGATGATAATGATGCTGAGGAGGAGGTTTAGGAGAAGGAGGAGAAGGAGGAGGAGGATAAGGATGCGGATGAGGAGGAGGATGAGAGTGAAGATGCTGATGATGATGAGGATGATGATGCAGACGATGATGAGGATGATGTTGATGCTGATGATGACGATGATGAGGATGATGCTGATGATGCTAGTGATGCTGATGATGATGATGATGATGAGTAGGAGGAGGAGGAGGAGGAGGAGGAGGAGGAGGAAGAGCAGGATGAGAATGATGAGAAGGAGGATGCGGATACCCATGAGGATGTGGATCAGGGTAAGAATCATTAGGAGGCTGATGATGATGATGCTGTTTATGTTGATGATAATGCGGATGATGATACTGATGATGAAGAGGTTGAGGGTGCAAATGCTGATGTTGATCATGACGACGAGGATGACGCTGGAGATGATGATGCGGATGCTGCTGATGATGCTGACGATGATGCCGATGCAGATGTTGATGATACGTTGATGAGGATGATGGTAATGCGGATTAGGAGGATGAGGAGTAGGATGAGGAAGAGGATGAGGATTAGTAGGATACTGCTGATGCCGATGATCTGATGATGATGCTGATCATGCTGATGATAATGTTGATGCGGATGCTGATGCTGACGATGATGTTGATGTTGTTGTTGATGAT